AGTCTCCTACGTCGAAAAAGGCCAGCTAGAAAAATACTATCCAGAGGCGGATGTGTTTATCCGTGGGTATGCGGAACATGCCGTGTCCGATTTAGCCGAGGGGAAGGATGATATTATGGGAGTCCACTTAGCGAAGTCCCCAGACAAGGGTCTGCACACATCGACCACTCTATCCGAGCTCGCTTCTCCATTCTTAGACGGAACGCTTCAACCGCAGTACTTCATGCGATGGGAGACAACCCGAGGCTGTCCTTACAGTTGCTCATTTTGCCAGCACAGAGATCCAGCTTCTTCGTCAAGGTCAGTGAATAAAAGTTGGACAAAACTACAGCACTCTGGGAAAGATCGTATCATATCAGAAATAGAATGGTTTGTTGACAATCATGTCAGGGACTTGGCTGTTCTTGATCCGACGTTCAACACAATAAACGGGAACATGGTGTTAGGTTTATTAGAGCGCCTTGGTTATTCAGGAAAACTCAGCCTTCAGTGTCGGCCCGAACGGGTCAACACTGCATTTTTAGATCAAGTGGAATCGCTGAGCGCAACTACAGGAGCCGAAGTGGTCTTGGAATTTGGTGTGCAAACGTTGGAAGCAGAGGAACTGGAGCACATCGAACGCGTGAGAAATGCCAACCCTCACAGCTTGGCTAAAAAAGTTTTAGAAAAGTTAGCGTTAGTTCATCAGCGTAATATCAAACACGAAATCAGCCTGATATTTGGTTTGCCTTTGCAGACCGTGGACAGCTTTCAACAAACCATTCAAAAGATCCAGGAGAAAACAGATGGATCACTAGTGGCTTTTCCGCTAATGCTGCTTCGAGGAACACCTCTGTATTATCAAAAGAACGCGTTGGGGCTTGTTGAAGGTACAGACATCGCGCATCCACTGCTGGATCGAATTCAAAAATTCATCCCACATGTTGTCACAACTCCTTCTATGACATATGGCGACTGGATGACAATGGCTAACATTGCCGCTTCTTTGCAAGAGCAACAACCAGAAGAGAAACAGAATAGATTATGACTTCCGGCGATGTCCGACAACTTTCGCTTTGCGATGCACTTTGCAATTTTCTCGTTAAACCAGTGTCACGTTATTTTTTAGTTTCTGTGTTTTCAAGGTTTTTAACAGTCGGAGGTCCCAAAAATTTTGGACCATATATTAGGGAACTCACCCTGAATGACTTATAAAATGTACCGTATGTAACCTGATGTAATTATAAAAGGAAACATTTCATCCAAAGATTATCGCTACTGCGGCGTCGACTTCCAGAAGTCGAAAGAGTATATATTATATGTCAGCTGACCAGTATCATGTCACTGAACAGCAAAAAATAGGTAATAGGTAAAAACCACTAAAAACAGGATATAAAGCAGTTCTTCTCATTTATACAGTCGAACCTCCCGTGAGCGATCACCCAAAATGTCAAGTCTAGGTGGTCGTCCAAGGGTGGTTTACGAGAGCTAGGACTATATTGGGTCAAAATTTTGCCTCATTAGCACATGGTAACTGCAGAGACTTACCCCGTGTTTTAAACGTTTTATTTATGTAAAAAGTTAATTTCGAGAAGAAATCCGGTACTTCCCATTGGGAAATTTCCGTCTCTTGTACTACCCAGCAGTGCGATAATGTCACACTCCGATTTCCGCTCTATTATCTGCCAAGTGGTCGCTTACAGCAGGTTAAAAACAAAATAAAATTTCAAACTGTTAGCTCTAAAAGTGGTCGCGGTCGCTTACGAGAGGTGGTCTTCCAAATAAAGTGATTTGACTTGGAAACTTTTGGTATTTTGGAAAACTGGTTGCTGAGGAGAGGTGATCGCAACCGGAGGTTCGACTGTATGTAAATGATAACTGGAGATAACCAAAATATATATATATTGTAAGTATTTTGGGGAGTCATTCATGAATTAAAATCACGGTGATTTGAGAGCCGTAGTTCGATCCATTTGGCCACAAACTGGTGTATTCCACCCGGTACCCCACTCTATTCCTCTCTACCTTTCCCTGTCGCCAGAGTAACCCACCCCCCACCCCCGACCCTACCGACGAACCCTCCCATACACCTATTACAAAGGACGAGCGGGCACTGGATTCGACAACCGACCTTTCGCAAGAAGCAGCCGGAAAAATGGCAGTTCACCACGTTGGAAGAATGAGGTAGTTTTAGAAAGACATCTTAATTGGAAAGTGATGGCACTTAAAGTACCCAAGTCAAAGGTGAGTGTGTGTTTGTCTCTGATCGCGGTCTTTCCTTACAAATATTGATGTTTTGGGGGCTATAATCTGGTCTCCACTAGAGGAATCTTGGCATGTGATTTCAATTCTACGATCTGCTTCAACGTAAAGTCAACTCCAATACAGGAATCTGTATTTATAACACTTAAGTTTAGAATTCCTTTCTGACCAAGTATTTTCAGGGTTTTTTGTGGAGTGGGCGTCTGTAAACCAAATACTTATAAAGCTTCACGCCACATCGCGTTAGGACCATTCGATTCTACACAACCAACCTCCCCTCCCCCGTTGAGGCAAGATTAACCCCCCAAGAAATCAAGATCAAAGAGCCGACGTCAAACCTCCAGTATTCAAAGGCTC